AGCACATGTCTTCAAGACGGAGATTTTGTGTTTTGGCGTGTACTTTCATACAGAATGAAGGTCCCCCTAACAAACTGCAATAAGTCAAGAGTAAAAGGGTTACTCGTTCTTACGATGATTGTGGCAGGAGACGTCAGCATAGCCCAACGCTCTTCCTTCGGCTTGCAGTGGGCCAATTCGCGGATAACGTGCAGACAACTCTTCGGTTAAATCGAAAACGCGAGTCACATTTCGTCTTAAAACCTAGAGGCCCCGAAACTGCAACTTGTAGACTAAACTCGACCGTCACCACGTCAAGGGCATCTTCGCCCGGTCACGCACATGTTCAAGTGAGGCCGGCTTCACGACTGAATGTCGCCAAGCCGGGACTAGAACGGCGCTGAGAAGCGCCCCCAACGGAACCCAGGACGGAAGGACTCGGAGTCAGCGTGGTTGGGCGTCGGCGCGGCCAATCGCAAACGAGACACTCACCTGAGACGAGCGGCGACACGTCGAGTCTAGGCCGGGCTGGCGGTAATCCGAGCTGAGGCGCGGCGGAGCGACACTCGTCGAGGCGGGCAGGCGAAGGGGCAGCCGAGTGAGGCGGCCGAACGTGGCGGCGCTGGCATGACTAGATCCGAGGCCGGGCGTGACGAGGCCGAAGGAGCGGCAGGCGGCGCAGGCGGCGCAGGCGGCTGGCGGCCGACCGAACGAGACACAATGAACCGAGGCGTGCGGTTAGGGGCGCGTAGGTCGAGGGGACTAGGCGATCGATAGGCTGGAGGCTCTGGCAATCCACTCGACTCAACCCAATGAGAGAGCTGCGATTCTATTGGCCCATATAATATACGGAAGAGACGGTGTCTGTCTGGGTCTATGGGTGTGTGTGTTTGAGTCTATACGTGCGTGAATATGTGGGTTTGTATGTAGTTATGCGTGTGTGTGTGTCTGTGTGCAGTGCCTCTTGTAGCATACACCGAACGGCTTCGCATGCAACGACCTGTCTTTCAAGTGATCATGTGCAAGCGTCTCGCCTCGTATTCGCGCACACGTGTGCGTGTGCATGTGTGTGTGTATGTGTGTGTGTGTGTGTGTTGGTGTGTTTGCGGATTAAGCCCCTGCATTCACTGATAAACACGCGTAGGCGAGATAAACATGGCTAGGGCCACTCAGAGTGGCAAGAGGATGGGGGAACTTTCCAAACTGTCATACTCGGTGAGAGTCGCTGGGTGCATGTGTGTATTTCGCATGCACCCGTTCTGAGTGTGTGTGTGTGTGTGTGTGTATGCGTCCCACCTAGACGTAGATGGATTGCTTACTCATGCATTCTCTCACGCGCTCATCTGCTGGCCGTGCCGGGCCAGGTCGAGTGAAGCGAAGCCCGGCCCGGAAGGCTAAGTTCTCACGCCGGGGCCCGCTGCTTGCCCGACAGGCTTCGCCACCTGCAGCCCAGGCCCGACGAAGCGCGGGAAATTAAAAGTGTCTCGAATGCGCGCACACATACACACACAAACGCTTGAGCGATTTGTAGAGGGGTTCGGCGAGAACGCGTCGGTTGTGCGCATGTTGGCGCGTCTGTCCATGTGGGTGGGTGCAGCTTGTGCGGCGGAAGAGGAGGAGGCGAAGCGGGCGCAACGCAAGAGGGGCGCCCGAGCCGTGAAGTGTGCATTTTTTCGCATGTTTGTGCAATTACCCGTTTCTGGAGTCGCCGCGGCTCTGGCGGTGGGTCGGCGCTGGTGGCACTGACGTTGGTGCCAGTGTTGCCCACCGGCCGCGAGCATGCCGACAACGCCGATGTCGCTTTGGCGACGTTTGTTACGGCCGCCGAGTTGATGGTAAGCATGTCTTGTGTTCACGGGGTTAGAGGCAACCTGGTGCCGAGTCGAGGAGTGCTTATGACGCTGCGCGTCGGGCGGGGTGGGGATGTGCGAGGGTGTCGGCGCCGGTCGCCAAATCGTCGACGTCGGATTGGCGAGTAAGGCGGCGTGAGGTGACTTACGACCGCCGAGGTAGTGCGAGCGACCGACGGACCGACGGACCGACGGCGTGAGTTGATTGCGAGACGAAATACGTGGAGAAGGTGTGCCGGTGTGACCTGATTCGCAAGCGGGTTTGGTCGGAATCGGCGCGACGGGGCGAAACGAGACGAAACGAGCCGAAACGAGACGAATTGTGAAGAAAACCTACTTATAAATGGGAAATAAGTAGTGTCGTCGGTTGTCATAGCTTCATCGAAAATCCCATAATAGAAAATCTTACGGGAAGTGGTACGTTGTTTAAATAATACAGTGCATTACATATTCGTTACAGTGATGGAGAATACCTACTTACAAACGAAACATAAGTAGTGTAGTCTATTGCCAGAACAAATACAGCATTGCTTCATCGACAATCCCACAACAGAAAAAGATATTGTTGGGATTACTTCCATTTCGAGTAGAAGTGTTGGGTGAAGAGATTCGAAGGTCGGTTCCACCAG